TCGAATCCATATTGTTTTCTCTTACTTAATTGGCCTCTCAGAGTTGGTAAGACAACTCCCACCTGTTTATGCTCTCTGTATGTGTGTATATATATCTCCTCAATATTTATTCCACTCTGTATGCATCCGAAGAAGTGGGCTGTAGTCCACGAAAGCTTATGCTCTAATAAATTTGTTAGTCTCTAAGGTGCTACAAGTACTCCTGTTCTTTTTGAAAAACACAGATCTCCTCATATCGTAATCACATCTCTGTCACGCACCTCAAAGTAGTCCACACATGTCCTCATATCAGAGAGACACCTTTATAAAGCAGGCCCAACTACTGCCTCCACCGTTCAATGTAGGTACGCCAAACACACTGGCTGCCTCTGAAGTGTATGCAAATTATTCCTATTGTTTACTGCCAGCTCCTGGGGAACAGAGGGAAGGTGATGTGGGCAACTGTCTTCACCTGCGCCCGCTTCCCCCCCACACACACCTTTTTGTCCTTTAATAGTGTTAGATGGAATCCTCTGGATGAGAGGGAATGGGTTGCAAAAGGAGGTGACGAGTTTGTATATTTCAGCAACTGTGGGGTTCACAGAGTAAAGGTATGTATGTTAATGGGGCATATTGGGACAGTGCTGAAAGAGGGCAAAGATATGGGTGCTTGGGCAATCTTAATTCTGTTTCCTGGGTTTCAGAAATTTGAGTTTTGCTCAACTCAGTGTTCTGCAAGGCGATGACATACCACCAAACAACCTCAGCTCTGCATTAACTATGTTTTTTTGCAATTAAATATACAAAAGAATAGAAAGCCTGTAAACGTGTCATCACTTTGCGTAATGCAAGGGAAGGGGCTGATAGTAAACCCTGGTGGCCAGTCAAATAATTTTCTAATGCACAGGCCAACAAGATACTTAATTAACCTCAAAATGCACAAGTAAGTGAGAAACCAATAAAATAGGTTTTAAATCAAGATAAAGATATTTGTAAGCCAAGGTATTTGTAATGCTCCTTAGACTCAATGGTTAAAATTATTTTAGAATCATTTTTTATAATTATTTAAATTCTTTAACTATCTGAAATCTGCATCCCTTTCTCTCACTCTTTGTCCTGTCTGTTTAGATTGAAACCTGTTTGGGGCAGGGACTATCTCTTACCATCTGTTTGTGCAGCACATAGAGCAATGGAAGCCTGATCTCAGTTGGCTTCATATGCTACCATAACGCCAAAAATAAATATTATGTATGATATCTTTTAATATCCCCCCCCCCCCAAGTATTGCAATTTAAACCAATTTCTCTTTAAAAAACAACACTAACTTTTCAATTTAAATTGACTTTCACAGTTGTAGAGAATAACATCTTGACAAGCAATATCCTGACATTGAATTGCCCTTTAAATTTAATATGCCTGGGCTCTCCTCTCAGACAGCCTGCTGTCTGAATGCTACATTGACAGATGCTAGGCTCCACACACTGAATATCTCTTGTCTTTTTATTGTGCAGAGTCTTATGGCTCCTTCAGGGCTCCTGCTGTTGATCTGGGGTCTGTCTCAGACAGTGCTTCTGCACTCACAGCAAGAAGAACCCAAGATTTCAATATTTTTAAAATTTCAGAAAGGCAATGCACCCCCCATTTGTTATCCTAGTAAGTCTTGCATCACACTTTTCCTGACAGGCTGGACAGACACAGTTCCTACCATTGACTGACACCTGTCCATTTTAAATAGATAGATATTTTAAATGGATACATATTTTGTGTGGGGTGAATACAATTTCTCTGGTCTTCCCTCTCCCTCACAGCTTTGGACCTGATTGATCCTGATCTTCAACTGCTACTAGGTTAATAAATCCTGTTTAGTGCTGTGCCGTTGTCATGCATCAATCATCCCTACTTTCCTGGTACAGAAATTTCTTAAAGGATCTTCCTCTCCCCTCTTCTTCCTAATTTACGGTATGCTGAACACTGAGCCAGTATCAAAGACCAATTACCAGAATGGGCGAAGTGATGATACAGATATCTTAAGTCCAAAAACTGATGCGTGCTTACATCTTTGCATCCAGTGGCTGACACTTCCTCTGTGTGTGTGTTCAACTCTATGAGAGGAAGTCACTGAACTGGGACCTAATACATCTAGGTTCAGTTCTCAACATTACACAGACTTCCTATGTGACCTTGGGTAAATCACTTTTTCTCTCTCTCTCTTTTCATTTCCCATCTGTAAAATGGGAATATTTCCTTTCTTCTGCCCTTTATCTTATTTATCTAGATGTAAGCTCTTTAAGGGCGGGATTGTCTCTTACTTTGTGTTTATACAGTGCCTAGCACAGTGGTGTCCTGATTTTGCTTGAGTTCTCTAGGCCAGTGGTACTCAACCAGAGGTACGTGCACCCCCTGGGGCACGCAGAGGTCTTCTAGGGGGTACATCAATTCATCTAGCTATTTGCCTAGTTGTACAGAAGTCTACATAAAAAGTATTAGTGAAGTCAGTACAAATTAAAATTTCATACCGATGACTTGTTTATACTGCTCTATATACTATATACGGAAATGTAAGTGCAATATTTACATTCCAGTTGATTTATAAATATAGGGTAAAAATGAGACAATACACAATTTTTCAGTAACCGCGTGCTGTGACACTTCTGTATTTTTATGTCTGATTTTGTAATCAAGTAATTTTTAAGTGAGGTGTAACTTGGGGATACACAAGACAAATCAGACTCCTGAAAGGGGTACAGTAATCTGGAAAGGTTGAGAACCACTGCTGTAGGCACTACTGTAATACAAATAACACATAATTATCTGTTACTTTTTGTTATGAATGTAGCGTACCTCATGCCATAAATCTTAATTTGTCTTCGGCTACTATGTCACATCAGGTAGTTAGTCTGGATCTAATGGCAATTTTCATTGTTCTTTCCCTCTTGTATTCTCACTTTCACCAAATGACCCTTGGTCTCCTCATCTATGTTTGTTCTTCTGATTACTGAGAATTCATCATGTTGATATAGAAGTAATACCAAGCCTCCACAGTGGTTGCCACCCTAGTTCTTAAAAGTGGCTTTATTAAAATTTTGTTTAATTCACAATGCCTTTTTGAAACATCATGGCTACAATTACTTGTAATTCTTTTGCCAGAAGGTAATCATTGTAATATGTTTCACCATTATCAATATAATCATTGCCCTCTTGTGGAGTCCGGCAGTGCCATGGCACAGTGATTCTCAGCTGTGCCATTCTTAGGCAAGGGCTGTCGGTGCTCCAACTGCTAGTGCTCTAGCACTACATGGTCTCCAAAGAGTACTCCAGCAACAACCACACTCTGACTAAGCCAGGCGCCCTGTCTTGGTGAGCCACTCTTTACCAATTGCTCTCTGAACTACCAGGGAGCCTTCCACCTGCTCCTCACTTCTGACTCTGCAGTACAGGAAAGAAAAACAGCAGATCAACTGCTGGCAGAGTCATCATGCTAGTCTAGAATTCCAAAGCCATTAAGCCAACAGAAATTAACTGGCTGATTAAACACTTCCTTAAAAACCTGAGGATTTTGCTGTTTGGGGGAGAGAGGCTTTGGACTCCGAGCTCTCCAGCAACGTGGCAGCCAAGCATCTTGCTCAGGTGTTGCTAGAAAGCAATACAAGCCAGTCAATTATTTGTAGTCATCCTTTTTCACTGACTAAAGTTCATAAACTGATAAGTATAACAGCATTTTATATGTCTTGATGAATGGAAGCTGTGTGTTTATAACTGTCCAATATATTTAGTAACCCTTTTCATGGTATCTGTCTGAATCTGTTTCAAGCTAGGAGACAAAAATAAGAAAAATATCTTTTTTCCCCCCACCCACACCCCTCCTGTAGTCTAGGATCCCACCTAGCAATGATTTCAAAGTTGGTATGAAACTGGAAGCCCACGACCCACGCAATGTTACCTCAGTGTGTATAGCTACAGTAATTGGAATCACTGGTGCCAGATTAAGGTTGCGGCTTGATGGAAGTGACAACAAAAATGACTTTTGGAGGCTTGTGGATTCCTCTGACATACAGCCAATTGGGACCTGTGAAAAGAAAGGGGGGATGCTCCAGCCGCCACTCGGTAAGAAACAATGTTTCTGAACTAATGACATGGTATGTGTGATCCACAAGATGCTGCTCTCTTATGGTTAGTGTTATCTTGTTTTCTTGGCAAGTGCTGCTTGAAATAATGGTTCAAGCGAAATGTTAACAGCAGAAGGATAAATGCTAAGTAAAAAAGCTAATAAAGAGAGTAAATGAGCTGGACCCCACTTTGTGTATTACTGTGTCTAGGAATGGATAGAGAAATTTAGAATTTGAGTATGAGTTCTACTATCCAAAACATTTTCCCTCTTACCAGAATCCCCCCACTAATCACGAGGAGGGACAGATCCCTCGTGGCCTTTTCAGTGACTGCTTGATGGGTTACACATAAATATTACGTTAATCTACTTAATTTATCCTCCTTCATCCCATAATTTATAGGGGCATTACCTTGTGGCATTACCTTGAGGGCTCTACATTACTTTCAGTTGTGGAGAAGAGTCCCAAAGTGCTTTCTAAAGCCACATTTCTTACAACTTGCATGTAGCTCCTGAATTTGGGTCTCTGGTGTATCAGGTGCGCTGCAGAAAAGGGAGATGTCTTTTTAAAATTTTAATCATTCTAAAAACTGACAAACTCAAAATGATTTCCACAGGAATTTAATTTATATTTTTTAAGCAAAATGAAATACATTTAAAGTATGTTCTTGCCACTACAAGGTCCTAAATGCCTCTTCCCATAAAACTCCAAGGAGTAACAGCTTGTGTTTTGTTGCTTTCTTTTCTTTTTCTTTTCTCTTTTACTTTTCTATCTAATTTAAGAGTAGGCTGACTGAAGTGAGGGTGCATTTTCTGTCTTTCACTCACTCTGCATGTTCATTCACTCTTTTCTCATTCTTAGTCTATGCAAGCTCTTGGATGAGAGAGGAGACAGAGGGACCTACGTTGCTTCAAACCTTTTTCTCTTACACTTCTGTACAACTGTATGTGGTGATAGTAATTTTCCAAATATATGTATCAGAGAATGGGAGCAAATGTAGTATGTGTTTCCTGGTTTTAGACTGATAACATCGCACTACACTCTTTATTGCTGCTCTACAGAAGCCAGCAGTTCCTTGCTACTGTCCTTCCAGAGGTCTTCTTCCCCACATAATCTTCCTGCACACTTAGATATCCATAGTTTCCTTTCCAACAAATCCCTCCCATACTTGGACAGGTCTAAACTCAAGAGCGTTTTGCTGGTATAGGTATAAGGGTGTGATCTCTGACTGGCATAGCTGTGCTAGCAAAAACCCCTACTGTAGATGCAATACTGGAAAATCTGTGCTTTTACTAGTTTAGCTTCGAGCACTCCTAGTGTGGACACAGCTTATATTGGCCAGCAAAACTTTACTACAGTAGAACCTCAGCGTTACGAACACCAGAATTACGAACTGACCAGTCAACCACACACCTCATTTGGAACTGGAAGTACGCCATCAGGCAGCAGCAGAGACACTCCCCTTTCTCCCCCCTCCCCCAAAAGGGCAAGCAAATACAGTAAAGTATTGTGTTAAACTACAAAAAAAAAAAAATGGGGCGGGGAGCAGCATTTTTCTTCTGCACAGTAAAGTTTCAAAGCTGTATTAAGTCATTGTTCAGTTGTAAACTTTTGAAAGAATAGCCATAATGTTTTGTTCAGAGTTACAGACATTTCAGAGTTATGAACAACCTCCATTCCCGAGGTGTTCATAGCTCTGAGGTTCTACTGTAGTGCAATTTTGCTGGCCAATATAAGCTGTGTCCACACTCAGAGCGCTCTACTGGTATAGTATATCAGTATATCTTTTCCAGCAAAATGCTTCTAGTGTAGTCATGGTCTATTGTGTAATATAAGAGAAAGCAAAGCAGTGGTTCCTGTTCACTTCCTGTGGATGGTGATTAGTAGCAGGAGCAGTTTCTCTCAGCAGCAGAGGAGAGTGCTCATTGTCTATTCTGTTTGTGCATAAGCCCATCCTTAGGCTTGTATTTTTGTGGAAGTATTTGTGACACAAAATCACTTCAGGCAAAATAAAAAACTAAAAAAAGGAGACTTCTTAGGCTTTACTTAAAAATACTAAACTTGAGTTGACAATGTCATTTTCAAATCACACTTGCTAGTTTTATGAGGAAAAATATTTTCCCTTAAGGCTCACTCAGCCTTGCTGCTGACAGCGAAGCTGTGTTCTTTGTGAATCGTACGTTGCTACCAGGATCTGCATTCAGAGCTCACTTAATGATAATGATGATGGTGATGCGTGAATCTAGGTCACTCTTTTTGTATTAGAGGTCTGCCCAGGCCCAGACCCAAACCAGACCCAAATCCACCCAATCTGAGCCCAAGAGTGTTGTCATTTTCCAACCTGACCCTGACCGTTCCCTCCAAACCTGAATTAGCGGCGCCACTGCCACCTCCTGCTGCACTGTGTGGTGGTGGCAACTGCTTGTCCCAATCCCGTTGGCTGCCACCCCCGCTGCACTATGTTCTGTGGAGTGAGAGGTGCAGCACACTCACTTGGCAGTGCATACTATTCAATGAGGCAGAGGTGGCCGGCAGGAGCTGGGCATGCAGCCACTACTATGCCAACCTCCTGGGCAAGAGAGAGACTTCAGAGGTGACCTGACCTGAGCCTCAGAGGTTCAGATTGTTTTCTGACCCAAACCAAACCTGATACTTGTTGTCAGATCCCATCAAGTTCTGGTAGAATTGCAGGAATCTACTCTACTTCTATCAAATACTGGTTTAGCACTCAACAGGCTCTGGTTCCAGGTGCTTAGCCAGTATTTTCTACCAGTTCAGTGGTGTGACTTTCTTTAAAACTTGGCAGCAGGCATGTACTGCTTAATGTTATTTTTTATATTTAAATTAAATAACTTTAATAGATTATAATTTTAGGCTTTAATATAGGTTATCAATTTCAAATATAATTCTAAATAGCTTTATTTTTTTTAAAAGTGTTTAATATAAATACAAAATGATTTTTAAAAAATGTTACCCATCCTGTTTTAAACCACAACTTTACTTTCAAAAGTAAACATTTTCTGTACTGTGGTATTACTTTACTGTGGCATTTCCTATACTTATAATGTATCATGTATGCTGTGGTGAAGTATACTTAGTGTGGTGTAGTAAAGTATTTTACTCTGTAAGTTGCCTGTTGAATATAGTTGGATGAGATTGTATTCTGACTTTCCAAGACCCTGAGCACATTTAAAGAGCTGCCATTTTATAAACCAGTCAGAGAACATTTTCTTTCCTTTTCCCCAACAACACAAATGCATAATTTTGCCTAAAAATTATACCTCCTAAAACAGCTATTCTAGTTAAATGTGGCACATATGAGAATATGGTATAAAGTTTTTATCAGAACTTGTTAGGAATAACCTTCATAATTCAATACTGACTTCGCTCATGGGAATACAACTATCTTAAATTTATGCTGATAAAACTTTTGATACCACATTAACATGTATTCCCTAAGTATAATAAAGGGAATATAAATATTAATACTTCTTTGGTCACAATAGAAAGAAACAGGAAGATATTCTCACTTGCACTTAGGTTTATTGTCAAATATGGTTACTAAGCAACCACTTTATAGTGGTCTGCGTTTATCAACAGTTAACCACACAGTATTTTCCCGTGTAGCACAGTAGGTCTTTTCTATCTCTGATCAGCGTAACTTACAGAAAAAAGAAGAAAAATGTCCAGTAACACCCCCCCCGCCACCCCCCCCAAATCCTGGTAAACTTGACCCTGGCCTACAGGACTTCGTGTATTCCAATATTTTCACATTAATATTTGGGAAATGCTTCATCTATGGGCTTCTGACTACTGGGTGGATATTTTGAGAGAGATTTTTGTTCTGTTACTATATCACTGGCAGATGGATAAACAAATGCTTGGGATCCTTGAAGTAACTGTTCAGCTAAAGTTAAGAAATATGGAATGAAAGTCCCTATCTTTTTCTACCTGTGATATTCCACTAGACCACCAGGAGGAGCCCACTCTTAATCCAACAGTGAAATACTCAGTACAGTAAGTCCAGAGTTAATCACTAGAGAGCCATCTGGATGTTTGTGCATTGTGCTGAGGAAAATGGTTGTATTCCTGGAGAAGCGAAAGATAGGGTAGGTGGTCATGGCGGTATTGTAGTTCACTTACACTCCCAGATGCAGGAAAAATGCAGGTACCTAATGGCATCAGAGAACTTTTGGACAGACTGATATTATATCAAGTACAAATTGGGTCTCCACTACTGCTGGTCCTCAGCTACTAAGTAATATTATGTTGCAAGGCTCAGTTAATAATTGTTTTGAGATCTGTTGGTGGAAAGGTGAAGTATTATTAAAATGTCACTCCATTGTACTCCAAAACTGAAGAGGGAGATAACCAAAATGGAGCAGCAATTTGCTCTGTGTGGGTCTGCAATCTATTTAAAGTGTTTCAAAATACAGTGCTTGTGCCACTGTAACTATATTGCCTTAGGACCAGATATAGTGAAAGCAGTATAACCCCCTAATGTGGATGCGATTATTACTCGTATAAAGGTGCCTTGGTTGGTATCAAAATAGGCTATACTGATGTTAGCACTTTTATATTGGTATAACTACATTTACACTAGCTAGTTGCACATCCTTAACTTTATCTATTCCTAAACTAATACAGTGGTACAAAAAATGTGTATACACCAGTCTGTGGCCAGTGATGTCCTTGTGTTCTGATTGCCATTTCTGTTCATTGAAATTAGTTGAAATGTTATACCTAATAAGCAAATGTTTTTGTACTATCCAGGAATGCAAGTTTGGCTCCTCTCATAATGATCGTCAGCCATTCTATTGCATAGTTTATTCAGAAAAGAAATAGTCACACATTGTCCCTCTAGTCCTTGATTCTTTAGTGATAGCTAGGTTCCAAAATTCAAACATCCTGGCATATATAGATACATTTTTGAAAAAGCCTTCTTGGCACTTTTGCAGCATCCTGTTCCTGGGTAAAGCTGGGAGCTAATTGGGTGTATAAATGCCTCCTGCTAGACACTTACACAACTGATTTTCCCAAGTGGAATGGAGCCTTCTGGTCCCAACATTTGATTTCTCTCACAGTAACAAATGAGTTAAAATAGTCCCTCCCACCTGAGCGCTAAACATATCATAGTTTCACATATTACATCGGGCTCAGTAGTGTTCAGTGTCTAGTTAAGGTTTCAAATTCCAACTTCCATTTGAAACTACTTTTTTTTAAGTACTTTATAAAGTTTTCAAACAAATTCCTTTGGGGATAACATTTTCCATGCTCTAATTAAAAGTGATTTTTTTAAAGAAAGCTTACGTGAAATCAGTTGAGCTACTTAACTGAGTAGTGTCACCACCCTTCCTGTTATTGGCATGTGCAATCACGCACTCTGTGCTTTCCAGTGAGAAAGCTAATTCTCAGCTAATTCAAAAGGTGAATCTAGAAACTTCCAGAATGGCATGTTTTATAAATCATGTTAAGACTTAGAAATCAATCCAAGTTTAAAAATCAGCTCAGTAGTTTCTCAGTTGTGAACATTTAAACATAACAATTTCTCACATATATAAGATCTCTTGTATCCAGTTTTAAAATGCAATTTAAGGAGTTGTGGACTTTAAACAACTTTTAAATCTGTCTGCTCAGTTAAGTACAACTTAAGGCCACTGTGTCAGGGAGCCAATACCCAGGACAGGAATTAAGGTTTAAATAGTAAGTAATCAAAAGTCATGTAAACTTTTCCATATCTACTATTAGTTTTTTTTTAAATCATATCTAGATTGTAAGGCAATTCTTCAAGTCCAGACAAGGATTCTAGTAGTAGTTGCTTTAGAGAGAAGTTTCCTATTAGGTTCCTGTTTTGTTGTGTTAGGTTTTTTTGGAGAGAACTACAACAGACTTTCACCTGCTAAAGATCTGGCCCAAAATATCTGTTGTCTATTTGAATCGGTCTAGTAGCTTCAAATACAGCCCTGAAGGTGCTTTGGAAGCAGAGAGAGATATAAGCATGTCTCTTCCTTTACTGGGAGGTACTTGGTTCTGAGGGAGAACGCCATGGAATGAAGAATATTTCCACCAAACAATTGTTTTGATAAAATAAAGTTGTTTTTAATAAAAGCAGGTTTGGGTTATAGTAACTCTTTGTGCATTGTATTCACTTATTTTTTTTAATGAAGAATACTGGCATGGAAACATTCTCCACTTTCTGCAATTGCAATGTGATGCATACACTTACCAAGATGTTTCATTTCTACCATTCCCTGTTTTGTCCTCTTGTCTTTGTAATTAAAGGATGTATTGTTTCATTGAAATTTGTTTGCACTTCCTTGTTTCTTTTTGTGAAGGAATCTTGTGGAAGAGCCTCAATGGAGAAGAAAATGTGTCTAATAAAAAATAAGAGTTAGAGGACAGAGAAGCTAGACCAGAGGATGTCATTTGAGAATGAAAGAAAACTGGCCCAGTAAATATAACTTGGTACTATGCAAGGAAGATGGTTTGGGACCAGGGAATATAGAGAATGATTTAATCTGCAGTACTACAGCTTGCATGTCTCTAGTCACACTTAATATAGTAACCATGATAAATGATTTTGCAGGCAAATCACTCCTGAAAGGAAGTATACTATCCAACGTGTTTACTGCTGTAAACAGCTGCTCTATGCATTCATGTGTCTTGGCCACATTTATTTCTAGCCAAGTCCAAACCAGAGGGTTTTAGACAGTAGTGGGGTAAATTCTGCATCTTTCTTCTTCCTGTATATTAATATTTTATAAATGTGAGTCTAGGATCTTTTACACAACTAATCTATTTATGTTAATTAGGTTTCCAGATGAATGCATCATCTTGGCCAATGTTTCTGTTAAGAACACTAAATGGAGCTGAAATGGCACCAGCAGCATTCTTTAAGAAGGTAAGAAGAAAGGGGCTCCTAGTAAACAAGCTTCCATCAACTGGTCCATGATTACATTTTTATTGAGGATGCCAGGATATTGTACTGTTCTCTTCAGCATGGAAAGGCAACAATGTTATTTAAAATTACTTTGAAGTGGATTGGCAAGCCACAAAACTGGACAGGAAATGATCATCTTCTAGTCCAAATGGATGGGCACCTCTTTTCCTCTGTTTGGACCTTTAAGGTATGCTGTATTATTTAGAAAAAAATTGTGTTAGCTTGGTTTTTTTCATGGATTTAAGATGTCATGCATCTCTCGTTTGTTGACAGTAACATATTCATGATGTGCCTGTGTATGTGTTGGGCTAAAACTGGTAAAGGAGAATGAGAGCCACAGGAACGTATGGGGAGTCTATGCTGAATATTTTTATTTGGCGCATACTTCACAGTTGAGCTGTTAAGAATGTAGTGGGGACTTAGCTGAAAGTAATAAAAAAATGCTATCAGTTTTAGAAGTATGGCCTTTATGCTGAAGAAAAGAGGATCTTAAAAAAATGTGTGAAATGTTTTTATGCAAAAAATATGTAGGGATGCAAGTATGACTCAGCAGATCTGTTGATTTGATTTGTCCTCTTACCATTCTTATGAGCTTGCTAAAATCGAAGTGAGAAGTTAAGTGATTTCTTTCTTAGTACTGATAATGGCTTTGCATGAGTTTCTTTTAGTAAAACGTATATTGGGCTTGATCCTGTAAGCTCTTGCTCGTGAATCCCCATTCATTTTGATTGATTTGAATGCATTCATAAAATAGCTATGATATGAGCAGTCCCAGCAATATGCCTCAGCCCTCTTCTGGAGGATCTACCTCTTGAGGGTGAGATGTAATTTGGTTTCCCTTCAATCCTTTGGCCTTTTTGCTGAGACTGACAAGAGTTACATTGTGGACCGTTGTGTTGCTGATTTTTGTTTTGTTTGTCCGAGACCAACTTATTTCACACAGGCCACTAAACAGCCTTCAGATGTTAATGATTTGCATGTGTATTTGGATAAGTAATAAAGAGCTGAAAGGTTCCCCAGTCCATTATCAATCCCCAGAAACATCCAGTTCCTCATAGAAGTACATTTTTCTGATCCTGTCCTCTCCCTACATAAAACTATGCCATTTATTTTTAGTGTACGTTCACTATCCCACCGTTCCTGTAGAACTCATCAGATTTTCTCAGTCAACTGCTTAAGTAGACTCGGCATAACCTTGCTCCCAGTCACATAAGTAGGAGCAGAATTGAGCCTAGGTAATCTAGAAAATTTAAAATAAACTTGTAACATGTATTAAATGTGTATTGTATAACCTTTTTGGAGTAGTCAGTATGAGAAGTTAGAATGTTAGAGAAAAGTAGCTGTTTTTCAAGAATTCATGGAAACCTAGATGTTCTACAATTTTATTTTGACAGGAACCACCAAAACCTGCTCCAGACTATTTTAAAGTTGGAATGAAACTTGAAGCAGTAGACAAAAAGAACCCTTATTTAATTTGCCCAGCGACCATTGGAGATGTTAGAGGAGATGAAGTTTTCATTACATTTGATGGCTGGCGGGGAGCATTTGACTATTGGTGCAAATATGATTCTCGAGATATCTTCCCAGTCGGATGGTGTGGCTTAACAGGAGATGCACTACAGCCACCAGGCAACAATGGTAAAACCACCAGTAATAACGCTTAATCTATCTTCCCAAATTTTGCTGCTGTTAAGCAGCTGGGACTTAAGAACCAACTGATCTTATGCAGATTTTAGGATTTTGATATGTAAACAGCTGATGCAGATGAAATAGTGACACGTTTTCACTGTATCATACCGAAGGATATGATTTAGTCACAGATTCCATGATTTTAGTGGACCTCCATGACTTCTTTGGCTTCAGCTGTCAGCGGCCAGGGCCAAGTCAGGGCTGTGTGCCTGCCCCCCGACCCCGTATGGCACTGTGCACCCATGGCTACAGCCGGGGCTGTAGCTGTGTGCCCCTCCCCCGCAGCTGCGGTTGGAGTGTGCGCCCTCCCTCCCCTTGAGCCTAGAGCAGGGTCTGTGTCCCATCCCTCTCCTGTAGTGGTGGGGCTCAGGCTGTCAATCTCTTCTCCCTGCCCCTCCCCTCTCCTCCCCTCCCCCCATGGGGCTCCAGTTGTTATTGCTCCTCCGACCCCTGATTATTTTTAGTAAAAGTCACGGACAGGTCATGGCTCCTGTGAAATTTTGTTTATTGCCCATGACCTGTCTGTGACTTTTACTAAAAATAACCTTGACAAAATCTTAACCTCAATCATATATTTTTCTGTTGTCTCTTTGAGAAATTATTATTGCTCATTTACAGTAGTTCACAATTATTTGTTCACACAGTAGCTCTGGAAACTCTTCTTGACTGACATTTACATGCCATAATTTGTTTCTTTATCATACCTGCTCTAATTCTGATAATGGTTAACGACCAAATCTAAACAAATTCCATTAAAACCAATTGCATTTAAATTCTCAGGCAGTGAGGGATCTGGTTATGTTCAGTTCTCTATGTACTTTTGAAGAATATTGGACATCATCTAGACCTTTTACTTATATTGTTGGTAGTCTCTATAATGTTGGTAGCTGTATTAATTGAATTTCATAGGAATTTATATTCAACTTTGCATCAACACCTTACCTCAAGGTTATAGAATGGAGCTCTGAAGAACAACAAAAAACTGTTTTAAAGTAGGAAATGCAATAAAAGTTTCTTTATTGTTTCCAAGGGATTCAAACTCTAGGCTTACCTGTAGCATTTACTTTGGGCTGTAAACTTTCTGTTTTTGAAGTTGTATATTATTAGGCTCTTCCAAATATTTTGTTTGCTGCTTACCTACCTAGTTATGTGAATCTATAGATAGAGAGCTCCCTTAGCTAATAGCCAACTTTTCTCTGTCATTATATACCCATTTCCTTCTTTGCCAAGGTATGTGAAATGAAAGAGGAATATTAATTTTTAATATCTGTGATATGCTATGGGGTCTCTTATAAGATATCTGAAATCTGAAGTTTTGCTGTAAAACAATTTGGGTTGTATTATCTTACTCCTTTCAGATTCAAGATGTGTGAAAGGAGTTTTTATAAGGAGGAATCACATTTTAAAATTCATTCTACTGTTACTGAATAATTTGTTCTAATCATGAACGGTTTCACTGTGTGTGTTAAGTGGATGAGAAACAAGAAGAGCACATTTCTGTAGAAAAGTTGGTAGAAAAAAGAAGACAAGTAACCATTTATGGTGCTTTTCCCAACATTTTTCATTTTTAGGACAACAATGTAAGAATCAGAGGTAAGGCTAGCCACTAAAGATTGGCGTGAGAATTGGGAAGAGTTGTCACAGAAAATCTTAGTGTAATATAACTTGTTAGACTGAAGCAGGGTTAGGGAGGAAAGGTGATCCAGTGGTTATGGGTCTAGCCTGGGACTCCTTGCTCTGTCACAGACTTCCTTGCACAAGTCACTTAGTCTTTCTGTGCCTCAGTTCCCCATCTGTAAAATGGGGATAACACCACTGTTCTAGCTCACAGGGATGTTGTGAGGATAAAGGCTAACGAATACAGGCTATGAATAAGATGTGTTAAAACTTGTATGGAAACTTCATGTATGTTCATTATGATAAAATGAAAAGATGTTCAAAAAGCATTGAAGCACTCAGATACTTAGTGGAGGTCATTTAAGTACCTTAGGTAGGTAGAAAAAATAATACTGTCTTTTTAAAAAGGCTTTGAAGATTGGAGGGTTTTCTCCATACAGTTGCATTTCTATCTTTTATAGCTAGGAACATCATTTTAAAGCAATACTTCTGTGAGATTGGAGATGATGAGAAGAAAGCTGCATTTCCAGTCAATTCCCAGGGTGATTATCATATGAAACAAGAGATTTAGATATAAGAAATATGTTTCTTAGTTGATTTTAATGACAACTTCAGCCTTTTCCTCAACAGCTTTAGCTTGGGATCTTAAAAGGTGACTAAGAGTTAAGCACCTAACTTCCATTGAAAGTTAGGGGAGTTACGTGCTTAACTCCCCTAGGCTCCTTTGAAAATCCCAGTTGTAATTTGCAGCATACAGAGAAATGTCATCCACTGCCTTTCTGTTGATAAATTGTCCATCCACCAGTTTAGGTCACGTGGTCTGTTTTTTTTCTAGGAATGTTTATGAAATTTAAGGAAAATATCAAGGACTTGGATTTAAATCTAATCCCAAGTCTTAAAGTTGCATGGGATTTTGGAGAATGGAAATTGCTTTGATCTCTTGTATCAACATGTTATCTTGATCTGTGGCACCTCTGTCATCTGAAGATGCAACTGCAAGCAAACTGATCCCACGTTCATAGGACTTAGAATCAAAGATCTCTTTTCTATATTCAGACCTAAATCCTTCCGGCAGTAGTAGACCAAAGAGGAGATTATGATCAAGGGAAACCTTTGAATGTGTGGCTGGAAAGAAATTCAGAACTAAACTAATCTGAGCTATGATAATCTGGGGGTGCTGGCTACTACTAAGTATATTTGGTAGGAAAGAGGCTGTATTTCCCTGTTTCCCTAAGAGAAATCGAAAGGAATGTGATGTGCTATTTCCCAAAGGAAAAATTATGGCGCAGACAACAGCTTGCTGATTTGACATATGCTGTTAACTAGCAAATATCTGCTGGAGAAATACCCATTTTTCACTTTCTCACACCCCTTTGGATCCCTGGAATTTGGGCACATTTGAAAGATGACTCCTTTAAAACACTGTGTTTCAATATCCCAATCTTTGAATCAGGAAAGAATTTTCATGGTTTTACAGAAGTGTTGTGAAGCTTCATTTTTTTAATGCTTGTAAAAGGTCCTTTCTTCCTTTTTCTTTATCACCTAATTTGTTTTCATCTTGTCACCTTCCGTCTTTTTTTGTTGCATGTTGTAGGGCTGAAGCGTGGAGCTTTTTTTACATTGAGGCCTGATCTACACTAGAAAAATTAGATCAATTAAATTCACACTCCTGAGTGGCATAATTAAGCCAACCTAAGGCCCTGTCTACACTACACAGTTTTGTTGACAAAAGTCAGTTTTCATCAACAACACAGTGAAGGTGTACCATGCTCCTTTTACCCACAACATTCGTCTGCTTTATTGACAAAATAAAGCATAGAACTTTTTTTTGGCAAAGTTATATCAACAAAAGTCAGTGTAGACACTGCGCTTGGTTACATTGCTATAATTGGTCTCCAGGAGGTGTCCCACAATGCCCATCCTGATTGCTCCGGTCAGCAGTTCAAACTCTGCTGCCCTGCACCCAGGTAAACGGGCATCTGTCCTTCCCCCTTTTAAGACCAGGGAATTTTTGAAATGCCACTTCCTGTTTGCTCGGTGTAGACAGCTCACATCGCATCTTCCCAATTGACCATGGCGGCTCCATGCAGCAAACGCTTTCCCGCTTGGAGGACACCTGGGTTGTTGGATATGCTGGCACGGTGGGGAGAAGAGGTTGTGCAGTCCCAGCTCTGCTCCACCCGTAGAAATGTTGATACTTATGGTCAGATTTCTTGTGGCTTGTGTGATAAGGGCTATGCGGGACATGCATCAGTGCCGTGCAAAGATAAAGGAGCTGAGGCAGGCATGCCAAAAGGCAAGGGAGGCAAAACTGTCGCTCTGTGCTGCGCCAAAGACCTGCCACTTCTAGAAGAAGCTGGATGCCATCCTTGACGGTGATCACACCTACACCGCCAGGAGCCCCATGGAGGTGGCTGGAGGTGGTGGCAGACAGCAGACTCAACCCCAAGGATGAAGTCATGGGCGGGGAGGTCGAGTTGGAGGACAGTGTGGAGCCCACAACAGGGTCATCCGATGGTATGGCGAGTCAGGACCTCTTTTCCACTCCAGAGGGGTCTAGCCAGTCCCAGCAGTCCCTCTCTTGCGCGCATGATGCGGGAGGGGGGAGCTCTGGGTAAGTGATCTTTTTGAGTTGATGATGCTCAGTTATGAGGTAGAGCTGTCCTTTGCTCTGTATATTCTAGAAGTGAGTGAAAGGATAGAAATGTACAAGATTAGCTGTGTTTGCAAGTGCTTCACATTACCCTGTGCAGCTAAGCGGTGCAGTGGAACATTTTGTTAATGCACACTGAGATTTCACAGGAATCCTAGCGAGATCTCTAGGAAACTTTCCTGGAGGTGCTTGCCAATTCTCTGTCGAAGATTCCTTGGCAGAGCTGCTTTGCTCCTTCCCCCATTGTAGGAAACTTTCCTGCGCCAACTGGCAATCACTTGTGCAGGGACTAAAGCACACAGGCAAGCAGCATAGGGACTGTGTCTGAAGCTGAATGCTTCACCTTTGCATCCTTGCTTACCTTCAGGAGTAAGATATCGCCTTCACTGACCCCCACCTGTGGAAAATTATGGCAGAATTTACAATATTGTCCCTAGTCGCCTGCAGTGATCGCCTTAAAATACCACCTAGACCCTTGCCCCATCTTGAATGCCCAACCCACCCCATCCCTCTCTGGGCCGAACTCACCATGTTTAGGGTGTTCACCGAGATGTGTGCTTGTCAAGGGACAGAGAAAAAGTGATTCATATGTTAAATGTGGAGGTGTATTTTACTATGATGATTCAATGCTGTGTGTGAACTAACAGTCATGCTTCTGTGTATTATTTCTTATGCTTAC